GCGACGGCCCGCGACCCCCAGCGGCAGGGAGGCCTCGGCCGCCCCCCTCCCGGACGCGGGCGGCGGCGGTGAGCCGAGGGGTCCCGTCGTCTCGCTGGTGATTATGCGTGGCGGGCCCCGGGCCGGTGGTCAGAGCCCTTCGTCTGGAGGCCATCGAGCGGGCAGCGAGCCCTCCTGCCTCTCTTCTTCGGCTGATGTCCCCGCCGGCCCCCGCCTAGGCTAGAGTAAGCTGAGAGCCCGCTTCTCGGGAAGAGGGAAATCTACAGCCATGTATTTTCTCAGCGGCTGGCCCAAGAGGCTTTTGTGTCCTCTGGAGTCCCAGGAGCAGCCTCTTCACATCCAGACGGATCCCCAGAGAGCTTTCTTCGCGGTGTTGTCCCCATCTCAGCTGAGCATCTGGTACTGCAGGGTGAGTATCCATCCTCCTGTTAGCCCTCAGACCCCGCTCTCCCAGCCGAAAAGCCCTCTCATCTGTAAAGTGGTTGGTTTTTTTTTTTTCGTTCCTGTTCCAGAAAGGGTTGTAAAATCTGGGACTAAAGCTTGCAGATGATTTCCATTATTTGTGAATCAGAGCTGTTAAGCCACGATGTTTACTGATAGCAATGTCGCATTGAGAAAATATGTAAGATCGATCTACTTGGAGTTAACACCTGTTATTCCTGAAAATGAGGCTTATAACCAACTATTTTTTATTCACTTTGACTTTAAATAACGCTTAAGCTTAATATAAAGAGTGTTTGTAGCAGTGCCTTTTTTGCAAATATGCTTCATGTCTTCTGCCTTCATATAGTCTGTGTTTTGTATTAAAAACAATGAATGTAGGAGCTATGAAACGCGTTTTTATAAAACACAGAACAGACTATAACATTCTCTGTAATGGTATAACACAGAAGTTCACAAACTTTTCTTTTTATGAAAAGTTTAAAAGTTTTGCGGCCCTAAACAGAAGAATTGTCGTGGCTTTTGCATGGAAGTTGCTGCTCTAGCAACACCCGCTTTGAGACTATGTGAATAATTGACATTAAATGCCTTGCTTTGAATTCACTTGGAATTAGTGTCGTAACAAAAATGCTGTTTGTCAGTTTGATTTGATGCAGCCAATGAAACAGCTGTGACATTGACTTTGAATTTTGATGCTGGATCCCTTTAAATACTGCCTAGATTAGACTCTAGATCTGTCTATAAATATCTCCAACTCCAGATAATTTACAGAGTTCATCTCAGGTTACAGGAGAAAACTAACAATCCAGTTTTAGAAAGCTGATACTGAAAGGTATCAGATGACAGTCATAGCCTTAAAATCTTGTTTTAAATTATGCTGAGATTTCATTGCTTTACCTTGTGTTGCACTCTTCATGGCTGTTCATTAGTTCCTGGGTGGGGTGCTGATGCTTTTTTTTAACCTATACCAGTAGCCAGCTAGGACATACCAGCCCAGTAACTATGCTGTGTGAACATCATCATGAGGCCTCTGTTTCCTTACGTTTGTGGCGCATAGTGTAGATAAAGTGTACGCCCGTCTAGATTTTGCCAGTTGTTAAGGCTATGGTTGTAGCCCGTCAGCAGAGCACAACTGATTTTCTTTTCCAGGAAAGTACATAAAGAAGAAAAGGCTTGTGGGATGCTTCTCAGGATGTGCCTTGTTCTCTAGAATGTAGTTTACTTTATGGTCTGTTCCTCAGGACAACATTCATTAACTTACATGTTCATTAGCTTACGTGCTTGGACTTGTTTTGAAATGTTAAATGTTGTATAACTGGCTACAGGCAGAGCACTAAAAGAATTCACTCGATGCAGAAAAGTTGAGCAAACTTACAGGTCATTAAAATGTTTTAAATGTATTTTAATTCAGTATATAATGGCTGCTTTTGAGGAGGGTGCTGACTTTGCCAGGCTTGATCACTGACTGATCTTAGACTAAAAAGGATGTTACAGTCTCACCACCTCTGTGGACATCCAGCTGTTAGCAATATCCTGCAAGAGAAAGGTTTCTGTTAAGGGCATTTTTTAAGAGAATCACTTGCATTATTTTTTATGCATATAGCTGGGGTTTTGGGTGGGGGTTTTTTTGTTTGTTTTGTTTTTGAAGGTGAAGCTTAAAATCATATGTTGGACGTTATTATAAAGTGAACTAAAATTATTGCATTCTAGAAAATGTTTTCATTTGTCAGAAGGACCTTCTTTGGAACAAGGCTAAGTTCTGGTCAGGTTGAATTAATTCAGTTTCTTGAAGTAGAAGAGCTTTCACCTAATGTTCTTGTTAAGACTTACTACTGTCTCAACTATATATGAAGGTTTCATATAAGAATGAAGTGATGATGCTGGTGAAGTTCTGTTTTGAATTTTTCAAGGGGGAGGCCCTTTGAAATACTTCCGTGTGTGTGAATTTACATTCAGTATGTGTATTTTTCAAGTGAAGTGGTAATGTTTAAAGCTCCTTTTCACCTACTGTGTGCTAAGAACTAATGGAACTAAGGAAGGTTTATCCAAAGTGTGGATTGTTTTCTGGTTTGGAAACAATATGGGTACTAAGATTAGAAACGGCGGTAAATGGTGTAGCTAAAACCAGATGGAATTCTGTAGTGGTTTTGAGCCAAAAAGTCCTTGACTATTTTACATGTTATTTTGTAGGGAGAGATTGGATTGTGGATAGAAAAGGCCACTGATCAGTGGTGAATGTTTTTGATCTTGCATCAGTATTGGTGAAAGATTTTTGAACATGCACCCCCAATATGTGTACATTTATTTGTTTATGAATTATATGCATGTGCTACTGTACTAGTATGCATGTTATCAAGCATACACAACATAGAAATTAAAAAATAGAGTAGAACAGAACAGACTTTTTCAGTTGGAAGGGACCTACAACGATGATCTAGTCCAACTGCCTGACCACTTCAGGGCTGACCAAAAGTTAAAGACCATCGTTAAGGGCATTGTCCAAGTGCCTCTTAAACACTGATGAGGCCTGGGGCATCGACCCTGTCTCTAGGAAGGCTGTTCCAGCATTTGAAAAGGAAAAAAAAAAAAAAAAAGAGGGAAAGCTGAAATAAACACATTTTTAAAGTTTTACTTTATTAATGGTACAAAAAAGATTTTCTTCTTTCACCCCAATGGATTGTATTAAATGCATCTCACTTTGGAGACTGTTCCAAGTATTTTTCTTAAATAACAAGAAATTATTGGCCAAGGTACCTCAGAAGATTCCTTGACCGTTCTCGTTGACAGCATTGGAAAGCTTGTCAGTGTTTTCATTCTGGTAATGTTAAGTACTTGGATGCTTGAAATGAGAAACTTCAATTCATGAAAGAAACTTTCTGAATTGCTAAAGTGAGGTAATTGATGTTTAATAGATTGACTTGGGAACCAAAGGTGATGTTTCATGAGGCAGCTGTGCAGTCCTAAGTGTTGTGATCTTTCCCGCTTGCACCTGTATTTTAGTGGCTCTTGGGGTGGACTAGTGATGGCTTTTACAGGGTTGTTCAGCTTGCTGAACAAACAGAAACATGTTTTTTTCAGCTCATGAAGGGATCAAAGGAGCATTGTAGTTGGCTTGTTGAAAGTGTTACTCCTTTAACAGTAGTGGCTTTTAATTTTAAATTGGTTCGGTTATCTGGCATCATAAGAGCTTGAGGCAGTACAGGGGATTCTAGCTATTCACCCACAGGGCTCTAGATATTAAAGGAAGATGTATGCAACAGAGGAAGGAGGTGTGATAGATGAATGGAGTTCCCCCTTGAAATGTTGAGGAGTGAATTGTGTCCAACAAGAATAGTCTGATGACGTATTTGTATGTATAAATATAGTTCAGCCTTTCCTTTCTTTAATCTTAACAAACTTGTGGCAATGACAGGAGTAAGTACTGGACTTGAATATTTAATGAAATTCCTGGAGGTTGTTGGATTATCTGCTATGACTCTGCCAGTCAAAACCAGTTTTGTAAGTTGTTTGAAGACAAGAGTAGCTTGCCCCAACTACTCATTTTGAGGAGCATTTCTTAATTACCTAGGTGCTTATCAGCTTGTGATTTACATCTGTGCTTGTTTTTAAACTTTCCTGTTTTTTTGTGATGATCTGATGTTGAGTCAGATCACCCAAATGAACTATAAGCATATGGGAAAGCATGCATGTCAGAATCCTAGATTGTCAAATAATCTGTATTCATGCTAAATGCTGAATAAGTCTATATACAGGCAGCTCTCATAACTCGTTCTTATGTGCTTTCCACTCTCTACCTGTTGCAGTATTAAAGTTACTCTTGATAAGTGCTTTAAATCTAAGCATACGCATTATTTAAACAAATTGGACAAAACAGGGGACTATGCTTGTGTTAGAGAAGTGATCTCTGTAACCTGGAATTTTGGCACGCTATAAAAGGAGTTACTTGTGACACTAGTGCTTATAGTTCATACACTATATGAATAAATATGTTTAAAAAAATGCATTTGGTTTTGTAATTTTTTTTATTGCGGGTGGCCATTAAAAGGAAAAAAATAATTGTTTTCACTGTGCTTTCAGGATTATGCTTTCGTCTCAGAACTGTAAGCAGAATAATTTACTGAATTATTGTATGTGGCCTTTTCCTAGACAGGATTAGATACAATCTCTGTAGTGTTTTTTTCTGGAATTTGGCTGCAAAATGGACAACAGACATCTTGATAACGATGTAAGTGGTTGTGTATTGTGAACAACATGACACAGATAGCATCAGTGCAAACTGAGGTGTCTTGCTGCTTCTGCTGTGTTTTTTCCTTAGTAATTTAACCCTGAGATGCTAACCTCTTACTGATACCCATCAGACATTTGTCCAAGAAGGCCATTTCTTTTTATATGTCAGTAACAGTAACAGTTGTGCTGTTACTTCTATTGTAAAGATGTATTTGTGGTTATATAATTAAAGAAAAGAGAAATACCTGTTAGACTGATGGATTTGGCATGTGAAATGTAAAATTGTCATGTGAATATTCAGTAGGCCTTACAAGGTTTTCCGTGTCTCCTGTATTAATATAAAATAGATAACATCTGAAAGACATCTGAGAATGACTTGCATGAAGAGAAAAGCATCCTCAGTTATGAGTTTTGACTCTCCCATTAGCTGCACATAACAGAGTCATTTGCCGTATGAGATCAGAGATGAGGTTAGAAAGTCTATTCTCCATCACACACAATTCTATTTAATACAAATTTAAGCGCTTGGCAATTCATGGAGCTGAGGAGCAGCAG